AAAAAAAGCCCAAAATAATAGAGGAATAATGTACTCTTCCCCTTTTGTCAAACAAGCTTGAGCTCAAGGGATAATGCAGCAGAGGCCAACAGAGACGATGTTAGACTCAGATTGGAGTGCAGGTGAAAAACAGTGGTGCAGAGTAGAAAACGGGACCCTTCTGCACTTTATTATGGCCTCTGAGCACTTGGGTAGCCAAGGAGAGATGTTTGTACCTGGTAATTATCTCCAGATAGACTTCTAGAGAAGATGTTGGGGCAGAAGGACATTATAAAATACTCTGCATTCACATTCTTTTTTAAAAATTAATTAATTAATTAATTTTAATTAGGTATATGTGACAGCAGAATGCATTTTGATTCACAGCACACAATTGCAGCACAACTTTTCATTTCTCTGGATGTACATGATGGAGCGTCACACCACATGTGCAGTCATACATGTACCTAGGGTAATGATGTCCATCTCATTCCACCATCTTTCCTGAGTATAGGTTCATGGGCTCTGGGAAAAGCCATTTTATTGCTTGTCTTCCAGCTGTAGGTATAATAGTAGTTTAATGTAATAGCCAGTCCTTGGATAACCTAAGCTTTATCATTTTAATCCCATAGCCAATTCCAATATTTCTATAATGGTGCACTCATAATAAATGCTTTGCTTACTGAACATCTAGATATGTTACTATTTTCCTGATTGAGTAGAAACTGAATATCTTTTTTTCAGGGAGTCACTTATATCCATAATATCTAAGGACACTCTGCCTCTTATTCTAACAGACTGTGTTATATGAATTAGGATTAAACCTCATCTTGGATTCCAATCACAGGTCTTTCTTTCACCCTTACTATTGCTGGACAAGTCTCGTTTGCTCTGTTCTTCCAGGAAAACACATTTTTACCCATGTGCTAAGCATGGGTATGCAGGGATACCAATACTTTAGGCATTATGTCTGTTTTAGTCAACTTTTTGCTGCTGTGACCAAATGACTTGACAAGTGCTGAGGGCCATTGCCAAGTTGGAATGACGCATCGAAATTTCCTTGCCAGCGTACCCCATGTTAAATGCACTTGCCTTGGAAATTCGCTGTGACATTGCATGTGTGTTTGAGAAAGGTGACCCTGCTCAAGGACCAGGGTGGATCCAGGTTTAGGGTGTATCCTGCAGGTTTTAGGAAGTATCCCCCTCCTTGGGTTTAAGGCGTTCCCGGTTTAAGACAAGTTTAGGGCGTTCCCAGTTTAAGACAATCTGGGTTTAGGGAAGTTCCAGGTTTAAGGTTATTCCTGCTGGGAATAGGGCGTTCCTGCTGCCTGAGTTCCCGTTGAGTTCTCGTGGGATTCAGAAAGTATTTGGGAAAAGCCTGGTGGAGTACGTGTATGGGGCGGCAGAACTTGGATATCCCCAGAACGTGTGTAGAGGCCGGTGTGAGTTCGGGAATAAAGAATTGCTGTTTGAATCTACAAAGCTGTGAGTGGCTCGTGATTCTGTGCCCAGCCAAGACTGCAGCAGACAAGACCAACTTTAGAAAAGGAAAAGTTAATTTGGCACTTATGGTTTCAGAGGTCTCAGTCCATAGATGGCTGGCTCTATTGCTATGGGCTCAAGGTGAGGTAGAACATGATGGGGAAGGGTGTGACAGAGGAAAGCATCTCAGGACATCATAATCAAGAAGCAAAAAGAGAGACTCACCATTGACAAAATATATACCCCCAAAGGCACCCCCCCCAAGGACCTCCTTCCTCTAGTCACACTCTACCTGCATACTGTTACCACTCAGTGACTCCATTCAAGTGGATTAACACACTGATTAGGTTAAGGCTCTCATAATCCAATCACTCTACCTCTGAATTTTCTTACATTACCTCACACATAAGCATTTGGGGGGCACTTCATATCTAAACCATATCAATGTCGCATTGCCATACCAATGTTTTAACCATGGAGAAGTATGTGTCTGATGCTTTCTATTTACTTACAAAAGAACAGAGGATGGAAGAAAGAACAGATGGGAGAAGTTAGTTAGTAATAAGCAACAGGCCAAAAAAAACAAAAAACCATTTCACATTCCTGTTTGTGTGATGAAACCTTAATTCAAAACCTATCACCACCCAAGTAGGTGCCACTGTGTCCTGCTGGTAGCTCCCAGCAAATCTGAGGCAACATTTGTTTCTCTTACCCCAAAGCTTTCCTTGCTTCTTGTAATCCCACCCATCTTATCTCTAGCCAATGAAGCTTCAACATAAACAACTGCCTATCTTCCTCAATTTTTCATTATAAAATATTCTGACTTTTTAGATCCAGTAAACATTTTTTTTTTCCAATTGCTACCTAGGTATGCTCCTGGAGACTATAGGAACTTGTCCCAGGATCAGTCTTTTCTTTCATGACTAACATCTGTAATGACTCAATAAACCTTTTTATTTCAAGATTTCTCAGTGGGAATTTTGGGTTAACATAGCTCTTCTACTGGTAATCTTCATAATTAGATTTGGAGGTTTGTCTTCATTTTGTTGTTGTCAGTTTTAATCCCTTTTCTCAAGATAGTCTTTGGAGAAATAGTGTTCTTTTTGTTTTGTTTTTATCTAAAACTGGGGCTATACACTATTCGTCATTCTTAAAATCTTAAGTTATTGTCTAAAAAAATTCATGTCTCATTCTTTGATATCATCTATATAGCTATGGCCAGTCTGTCATTTCATTTTTTTCTTATAAAATTCCAAACTATAGTGATCTAGCTAAACACTGACCATATTTCCAAGTCCTTTAGCCTCCTTCAGAAATCCCAGATGTTGAGAGCCACAGCCAAAGGGGCCCCAGCAAACTTCCAGCTGCCAGCAAACTTCCAGCTGCTGGCTGATGATTG